AAAAAAAAAAAGCCTGGCTGGGCGTGGCTCAGCAGTTGAGCATCTACCTAGGATCCAGGAGATCATGGTTCGATTCCTGGTCAGGGCACATGCCCAGGTTGTGGGCTCAATCCCCAATGGGGGCGCACAGGAGGCAGCCAATCAATGACGACTGTCTCATCACTGATGTTTCTATCTCTCTCTCCCTCTCCCTTCCTCTCTCTGAAATCAATAAAGATATATTTTAATAAATAAATAAATAAATAAATAAATGGGATGGCCTTTACTGACTGGCAAACTGAGGTCGTAGTTGAAGGAGGGTCAAAGTGACTGAAAAATACAAGACTATACTGATTCTTCATACTTTAGTCTTCTCATTCTACCATTCCCTCCAGATAAACTCACTCAATAACTGAGCTAAAATCAGCCCTATGTTCATGCTATTTTAGAAAGAAAAGCAAAACATTCAGAGAAGTGGAGACAAGAGTAACTCTGATGAGGAAAGATTCTATCTTACTTTTGATTAGTCAAGCATCAAGGTTTTTCTGAACCACTAATGCCCCCTGGTGGCCAGCAAGTTACATTAATAAAACTTAAAATCCATGCATTTCAGGTTATCTGTATTATAAACCATACAGGAACTTGGGACAACATGGGTTGGAAGAGCTGATTATAGTACTCTAATCTCTCAATTTTTTTGTTAAATAACCAACTGCTAGTTTCTATTATTTAAAAAAAAAAACTATATATAGCCAAACTTCTCCCACTCCCCTCAAAATCTCATATTTCCCTTTTATTGCTCTCACCTAAAATTCCCCACACCCAGCAATTGAGTCATACATGTGCAAAAGGGGCTTCAATTCATAAGTAAAATCAGTTTTATTAATAAAGATATTTCCACATGTCCAGAGCAAACAATTTATAAATTCCAAGGGGGGAAAACCTACATACAGTGAAATTAGAAGTATCCCAGGATGACAAAAAACATATATAAATATGTACACCCACAATCACCGCCGCCTTCGAAAACCTGAAAGGAAGGGAAACCAAGAATGAGGCAAAGGACAGTTGGAAAAGCTGAAGGGAAAGAACAAAAAGACATCTAGAGAGAAGGGCTCAGTAGGGGTGGGTCCCCTAGGCAGCACTCTATATCCTCCCAGGACAAAAGACTCTGAGTAGGAAGAAACTGAAATGGGATAATGGTTCCTTCAAGTGATACTTTTATAGTTCTATTTAAGGAAGCCTCAACAGGCACTGTGGGAACTCAGAGAAAGAATCCAGAAATCTCTTTTGTGAATGATGCTGATTTTCAGCTTGGGAAAGAAGAAAAATAAAATCCCACCTCTAAAGAGATTAATGCCCAGCATGGAAGAGATATTTATTATAGGGGTTGTTAAGACCTAAGATGGCAAATCCAAAGCTGGCATCCCAATTCATACTCTCTACCCTGCACCTGATCACCTAAGTCCTAGCCATTTACTGACCTTTTTTCTTCCGACCTTTCTTAGATATCTTCTTCCGCTTCTTAATAGGATTCTGATCCTGGAGACAGATGAAAAAGTGAAGGAATGGCAGTGTGCTTGCAAGTGTTAGTATCCCTTCCCAAGTTCCCCATGGTAACAAGACCCATGTACATTTGGCTGAAAGCAAGGTCACCTCCCACCACTGTAACACCTCACCTCATCAAGATGAGGAGTTCCTCCTGTTAAAGCACTGATGTCACTGAAGTGCGTGAGAGAATGAAGCTGTGAGCTCATGACGTTTGCGCGTTTTCGTCGTCCTTTCTCTCGCTTACTGACACTTAAACGCACCATCATGCTCTCTTCATAGTTAATCCTGCCAGAGAAACACAGACACTGTTTCCAGCATGCTCAGTCCATAAGACACAAGCTGCAGCCCAGCACCTGGGCCCAGACATTTACTCACCCCTTATTCAGACAGTTCTCAAGAAATGTCATAGCAGGGCAATATAGTATTTGGGAAGGATATACCAAATGCTCAATACTGAACTTCAAGGAAATGTCTTTGTGCTAGAACTTCCTTCCTCCCTACAAATGAACTCACAGACCAACCACTGGAATATTTAAACTATTATTTTATCAGAAAACTCTTGTATTTCAGATCCATAGACAGGATTAGCCACCTGGGCCCTTTCACTCAAGCCTATCAACCGGGCAAAGTCAGTGAGTCTGCACTCAAGTTATAATCACTTTTCTACTTCTCTTCCCTGAACTTATCTAGCAATCTTGATGCCACTACAAAAACCTGCTTTTATTGCCTTCTGCTCAAGTGAGAGCTGTCACAGCGAACTACAGAATGTTAATGCCCTGCTAGGTGGAACTGCATATATTTCTCTTCATATAGTGTTTGCTCAGTTGGGGGGAAAAAGATCTTTTTCCCAGTTCTTATTCTGTACTTCAAACCCCTAATTCTTAGAAACTGTCCTCCCAAGTTTCCCACTCCAGTTTGGCAGAACCCATATAATATGGGTTCTCTTGGTACCAGATTTAATCATATTCATCCAAAGCACACAGGTCTCTACAGCACAGAAAACAATGTCTAATTGCAAAGACTCAGACCTGTGTTGATCCTCCTGACTCTGGCGAGTAACATGAGGATGCCGGGCATCGCGGATTTCCTCTGGAGCATCTGAGTACTGCTCCTTAAGTTCACGAATGACAGAGCTGCTCAATGCTCGCCTTTTGGCTCGTTCTAGACGCTTCTTCTCCCGCTCAGCCTCTGTTTCATCTATGTGATAAAAATTAGCAAGGGTTATCCCAGAATAGAGAAAAGGAGAAGAGAAACAATTCACACTGAGGAGATAGTAGCCACAGTTCATACCATAATGTACTGGAACCAAACGTGGTGGAACATATTTCTTAACTGCTCCGTTTGCAGATTTCTTCCCTGAAGCCCCAGACTGGCCTTCCTCTGCTTCACCTTCCTCATCCTCAGAGCTCAACTACAAAAAGAATATAATGTCCACAAACTTAGGAAGTGTTAGCAGACAGGTGATAAGAAAAAACAAAGCTGGAGTACCCTGGGGAGATGGGAAAATAAACAAAAAGGAGAAGGGGGAATCTTATAGTCAACACTCTAAGGCACAAACTTAGAATCAATAGCAATAAGAGTATCCCAGGAGATCCAGGATCACCATGAGGCTCATTCAGGCTTAGATTACTCAGGAAAATCAGGATAACGCAACCCTTTACCTTGCTCATCATATTGCTGGGATGAGGCTTAAAACGGAGTGGGTCATTCTCACCTAAAACATAAAAAACAACCAAGAGATTTTACAAGATTTGGGACTTCATGATGAACCACACATAGCGTACTACTTCCTCCACTTACTGAGGCTGCCGGTCACTGCAGTCTTGACCAGTTTGTCAATTTGATACTTCAGTTTTTGGTCCAAGGGACGAAGTTTTTCCAAAACCTGTAACATGGTTAAAAAGGATCACATTCCCTTCCCAAAGTTAAGCACGGGCCAGAGTCCCTTTATTAAGCTGCCAGACAAAGCACCTAAAATATGCACAAAGCAAAACAAATAAAGAGAAAAATACTATTTTTCATTTGGTTTCCTCACTTAAACATAAGAACATCCACTCAAATGAGAGCTACTGTGTGAAAGTCCTGGAATTTAGGATTTGGAAACCTAGGACTCTAAGATCCCAAATGCTTTATACCGTGCGAATCTCCACCAGTCTCAAAACTGCAGCGTGTCCCTGAAGAGACCCTCCTGAGGCTTTGTCCAGAATGAGATGGCTCAAATCCATAAGATACATGAGCAGCAGCTGGTCTTTCACTTCCAAGAGGCTGAGACCCTGAGTTGAACAAAATAGCAAGGGATACAAATTCAGTTTTAGCCATAGAATCAGAAGGAAAGCCTGGGACAAACAGGGTAAACTTTTCCAAGTGCAAGTTTTTCCCAATCAATTCATACAAGGTATCTGGAGTAATCTCAAGGGAGAGGCTATACCTAAAATGGCCGCAGAGAAAATTATACTAACAAGGGAGAAGCAAAGGTCAGAGCACTATTGAAACACAGTAAGAGCAAGAAAATCAATAAAGTATCCCCAAAATGACTATAGCAGGATTTCTCAACCTCAGAGCTATTAACACTTGTGGACAGATGATTTGTGGAGTGCAGTCCAGGCACTGGAGACTGTTCAGCAGCATTGCTAGCCTCTACTCACTGATGCCCCCCTTAAGTTGTGACAATCAAAAATGTCTCCATACAGTGCTGAATTCTAAGTTAATTTAATCAAAAACAATTACTGATTTTATCCCCATACAATGGAATTATGTGATACAGGTAAAAACAATGATCTATACACAGTGATATAATTCCTGTCGTACTAACTTAATTCCACCATATTCCATATAATATGGTTCTGACTAAAGGGGGGGAGTACGATGCACACATTTTATACATACAGAAATACATCTGGAAAATAACACACAATTAACAAATGCTATCTCTGGAGATCAAAATGAGAAAAAGGAAGAAATGGAGTGCTCACACTGTGAAACTGTTTTTCCATCAAGCATGTATTACTTTTATAATAAATTTCCAAAAAATGTACCCTAGTGGTTATCTCAGAACAGTGATTACATAAAATTTTTAATTTTCTTTGTGTTTTTACGTATCTTACAAACTTTCTAAAATTACAAGTTTATTATATTTACAGGTAGAAAATTAAGCAAATATTATATGTTTATTCTTTTAAATAAAAGTAACATGTATGAGCACTGACGTAAGTTACAGTTGTTTTTAAAAAAGGAGTCACTGTTGCACAAAGTAAAACTGAGAAAGTCCACAGCGCTGGGAAGACCTTTATCAAACGGGTTAAATACTCTGCCCAAGATTACACAGTAATAGAAGCAGAACTGAGATTCAAACTCAGTCTAACTCTAACAAGATAAGCTCTTAAGATCAGCACTAGTGTAGTACAGGAGGAAAAGCAAAGAACTTAAAGAAGACAAGTTGAGTTTAACTTTTTGTTGTTGTTGTTGTTAATCCTCACCCAAGGATATTTTTTTCCATTGATTTTTAGAGAGAGTGGAAGGGGAGGTAGAGAGAAAGAGAGAGAAACACTGATATAAGAGAGAAACACTGATTGCCTCCTGCACAAGCCCTGCATGATCCCAATCCCCGACAGGGCCCCAACCAGGACCGACCAGGACCAGGGACTGAACCTGCAATCCAGTTACATGCCCTTGACTGGGAATCAAACCCACGACCCTTTGGTGCACAGGCCACAGTAAGTTTAACTTCTGAATTAGCTGTTCAGTAGTCAACTACTGAGTGAGTCACTTAACCTTCTAACATCAGTCTCCTCATCTGTAATATGAACAGTATTTACTTCCTGTGTCAAAGTGTAATTATGGAACTCAAATAAGATAACATGAAAGCACTTTGTAACCTATAAAACACCTAGTAAAAGTCTTTGGTGACAAGCTAGTAAATATCTGCTCAATGAATAAACAAATATATAGTGATCTAAGATACATGCTGGCAGCCCATCTCAAAAAGGCATTAAAATGGAACAAAGCATGGTACCCAGAATAAAGACAGCCAAGAATTTGAGAAGTAGGTTCTTCTGACATGTTTGGGCACTGTCAAGTGCAAATTGCGTTACAAGCACATAAAAGAAACACAAAGAAGGAAGAAAAAGCAAAGATTTTTAAAAATCAGGAAATATAAAAATAGGTAAGAACAAAATTGAATAAAGAAAGAAAAAGCAAAGAGAATATATTAAAAATGCTGTTAGATATCTTTCTAAAGCACAAAACTGCTTTCTACATCATAAATCCCATGATTAAAAATCCTTCAATTATTCTTATTATCCTACTGTAATGACTTTCATACTTTTGTTGACCTACTGTATGTTTTGCTTAAATAACATCTTAGGACAAAAGCTCTATATATAAAATAGATAACACCAGATTTTCTACAAGCAGGAGGGATCCAAAACCCTCTATCTAGATTGGCCATACTCAATGATCCCTGAGAAGGTTCTACAAGACCTTAATTTATAAACTACCATATTTCAACTTTAAGATGAACATCATTTTTATATTTTGACATCTCTGAAGTCAGGATGCATCTTTTAATCAACAGTATCTTAGCATATGTCACAGATTAACAGGTAGGATTTTTTCTTAGTATATATGAGTGATATGTCCTCAATTAACAGCATCTTAGATTAGATGAAATACAATAGTTAACTCCTCAGCTGACAAAGACTTTTCACAGAATCACTGCTTTCCCAGTCTTATTTCCTACTCCTAACACACACACACACACACACACACACACACACACTCTACATCCATCCACACTAAAGGACTCACTTCCTTTCCCAGAGTATCACCATGCTTTCAGGACTTTGTTCCTTTGCATATCTGTTTCTCTCTGTACCTCTGACTCCCATTTATTCCTCACAATCCTATTACCTCCTCTGAGAAGCCTTCCCTGACTTCCTCTGCTCCTCTGGCAATCATTTAATCTCTCTCCTCAGCTTGCACAGCCACCCATCATGACTCTGCAACATGGCTGCTACTGCTTATATCTACTACTTTGATCTGTCTTAATACACTTCAACACAGAAACTGGATTTTATTCATCTTTAAAGCTCCAGCACTTAGTATACAAGTTATTCAACAAAACCTATCATGAAAGAACTGTTGAGAACATCAAGTCAGGGGATACTTACTCTTCAAGTATGTCTTACCTTTTCTGTAGGATAGGCTCTAGCTTGAACTTTTTTTGTCAGAGCTTGAACTTGGGCAGTTACAGCCATTACCTGAAATTAGTCCAAATAAAACAACTGACTAGAATACACCAAGTGATCTCTGTAAGCTGTGAAAGGCAAAAGCTAAACAATGCCACCTAAAAAATATTTTAAACACGGTTCCAGGGTACAGTATTATCTTCTTTTCAGTTCTGAGAAAGAATAAGAGATATGGTTTCTGATACTTCTTCAAAAGGTAGAAAAAACTTTTCACCTCTTTTTAAAGCTAAAGAAACCACCTTACCAAACCATGAAGAGGTGATAGGGACTGGGATGGTGGTAACAGGGGACTGTAACTTTATCTGTACTGGCTGAACTTACATTGTACAGAATTATATAAATGTACATTAGCTTGGCATTCAGAGGGCAAATCACATCACCTTTCCCAGCATCAGTTTCCTTACCTATAATAATAAAGGAAATTTATTCAGATAATTTATTTCTTGAGTTTTCTGTATTCCTTTGGATACAATTACTTTTAATTGTAGCCTGAAAAGGTAATAAAATCTTTTTGCTTTTATGGTATTTGGTAGCATTCAAATATGTACCCCAAATCTCCAAAGTCTGGAGGTGAAGCACACAAAGTCAAAGGCAATCCGTGATTAATCTGCTCCAAAGGGATGACATTACTCACCTGCTCCTGGAGGTTTTTCAAAAGTGCCACGGCTCTAGGCAAGTCTGACTCCAGCACCTCCTACAGGAGGGAGAGTAAAGAAAAACCATTCTTTCCTCTGGATAATGAGATGAAAAAGCCCCCACTTTCCTCGGACACCCCAGACTTCCGTTCTTCCCACTCCTGTTCACAAGCAGCCTTGCCTCCTAGCGGGCCAGCCCCTCAAAGGTTACTGGAGAGAGTGGTAATTCCTGCCCGGACTCTCTACTGCTGCTTTTCCCCCGGCTGTGCCAGGGAAGCTGCCTCCCTGAAGTTACTTTCATCACCACCCTTTCCCTGCGCCAATAATTCGCCTGAGCCATTTAGGGTAAAGGAAACGTATGCGACAGCAACCGGAGAAAGATAACAAACCGTAGTCGCCGGGGCCGCCATCTTTACAAGGCCCGCCTCTTCCGGAGCTGTACTTCCTGGTTGATAGACTGATGGACAACCACTGCTTGCAAATCTAAGCCAATAGGAATAAGGATTGCTCACTTCCGCCTCAAACAGGATGTACAAGAAGAGAGACTGGGTCCAGCCAATGGAATAGAAGAACTGGTTAAATCCATCAGACTTAGGAAGAAAGCTAATAACGTAAAGATGTTCTTGGAAAAAACCATGTGATTAGTAAATTGAGTAGAATGATTGAAGCTAAACCAATAAAAACTGGGTAAGTGATTGATTGACAGTTATAGAGGTCCAATGGAAAAAAAGGAGTTAGGCGAGATCACTGAGAGCGTATTGGTTCCTGGACGCCGCAGTATCCAGAGCCTTTTCACCACGCTTTCCTTGCGGGGCCCGAACCGCCCTCTAGATGGCGGGCCTCCGCTTGGCTCTGAGGAGGTGGCCACGTTGCGCTTCGCCGTCCCCGGCTGCTGGTTCAACGCCGGTTGCGCCACATTGCTCACAGACCCCGAGGCCTTTATGATGGAGTTTTGTGACCGTACTTCTGTGTATCCATGGAGAAGTCACTCGGTCACGGAGCTTTGTTCACCTGTAAATGAGAGAATTGGGCCAGAGAAGCCAGAGCCAGGGTTTAGAACGGACAACCAAGACGCTCACCCTCTTCGTGCGTACATCTGGGCATGGTGGAAAGACCTCCAGATGCCGCCCCAACACTCCTCACTACCAGTTTGGAGACATGAAAGGGAGTACGTTTTACAAATATGGAAGCCGGTTCACATTTAAGTGATTCGCCCTTGGTCACACAGGTCTACAGCAGAACTTGGTTCAAACCCAGCCTATGCATTACGAAATAAGCACTGCAAGGGCAAATGATGGTCTTGAATTTGTCCCGCAACGGCAGAGCGGGCCTAGGACTAGAAATAGGTTCTTCTGACTTGGAGCCGCCTTCTGGAATTAAGGAAGAACTAACCTTCAGATCTCAGCAGCCAGGGTGAGGAATTCCTGGTTTCTAAATCTTCTTCTGGGCTCAGGAAGAAGGAATATGTATCTAGTCCCCATGCCTCCGCTTCTAACATTTATTTGCTGCTTCAGGCCCAGCATGCAGGCTCCCTGTGCTTTAACAGCCTACTCAGTAAATTAACCAACAGTTTTTTACCATCTGTCAGGATTTGTATTGGGAAAATTTTCCATTTCAACATAAATTTTCTAGTTAGGTCACAAATAACTTTTCCTTTTCTTGGAACTTGACATTTAATTTGTTCTTATGCATTATATCAATGACAAATTACACTGCCTTGTTTTGCTTTAAATTATTAAATACTTGTCAGCCATCTCGTTACAAGAAAATCTTGGAGTTAGCAGTACAGTAAACCTTTGTAAAACTCTCCTGGGACTCAACGAGTGTTGGCAAAGAAGACAGAATCATAAACTGGCAATCATTCATAACATTTGTACATACATACTGAGTAAATTTTTAACAGCTTTATTGAGATTTAATACATACCATATAATTCACCCATTTTAAGCTGTTAATTCAATAATTTTTGGTATACTCACTAAGTTGTGCAAATATCACATTTTAAAACAGTTTTATCACCCCCTAAAGCAGTGTGCCCAATAGGTGGAACTGTTTTACCTCCACCCCACCCCCACTCCCTGTCCTAGGCAACCACTAATCTTTGTGGTCCTATAGATTTGCCTATTCTGGGCATTTCATAAAAATTGAGTCATACAATATGTGGTTTTTTGTGACTGGCGCTTTCACTTAGCATAATGTTTTCAAGGTTCAACTATGCCATAGCATGTATTACAACTTTATTCCTTTTTAATTGCTGAATAATATTTCATTGTATGGATATGCCACATTTTATTTATGCATTCATCAATTGATGGACATTTGAGTTGTTTCCACTTTTTGGCTGTTGTGAATAGTGCTATGAACATTTGTATACACATCTTTGTGGAGAGATATGTTTTAATTTCTCTTGGAGTAGAGTTGCTGGGTCATATGATAACTGTTTAACCATTTGAGGAACTTGTAGACTGTTTTCCAAAGAGGATTCACCATTTTACATTCCCATCAGCAATGAATGAGGGTTCCAATTTCTCCATAGCTTTGCCAACACTTGCTTTAATCTGTCTTAATTATAGCCACCCTAGTGAATATGAAGTAGTATCTTACTGTAATATTGATTTGCATTTGCCTAATGGCTAGTGATGTTGAGTGAGCATCTTTTCATGTGCTTATGGGCCATTTGTATATCTTCTTTGAAGAAGTGTCTATTCAGATCATTCACCCATTTTTGATTGGGTTATTTGTCTTTTCATTATTGGTTATAAAAATTCCTTGTTTATTCTGGATACAAGTCCCTTATCAAATATATGATTTGCAAATATTTTTTCCCATTCTGTGGGATGTCTTTTAACTTGCATGATGTGTATCATTTGTATCATTTGAAGCTCAAAGTTTTTAATTTTGATGAAGTCTAGTTTATCTAATTTTTCTTTGGTTGCTTGTACTTTAGGTATCATATCTAAGAAATCATTGCTTTATACAAGATTTTGAAGATTTATGCTTATGTTTTCTACTAAGAGTTTAGTTTTTACATTTAGGTCTTTGATCCATGTTGAGTTAACTTTTTTTAAATAAATATATCTTTATTGATTTTAGAGAGAGGAAGGGAGGGGGGGAGAGAGAGAGAAACATCAATGATGAGAGAGTGTTATTGATCAGCTGCCTCTTGCATGCCCCCTGCTGGGGATCCAGTCCTCAACCTGGGCGCATGCCTTGACCCGGAATCGAACCATGATCTCCTGGATTGTAGGTTGATGCTCAGCCGCTGAGCCACGCCCAGCTGGGCTTGAGTTAATTTTTGTGTAGGGTGTGATATAGGATCCACCTTCATTCTTTTTTATTTTAATATCCAGTTGTCCCTGCACGATTTGTTGAAAAATCTATTCTTTCCCCCATTGAATTGTCTTGCACCCTTTTTGAAAATCAATTGACCATAAATGTACAGGTTTATTTCTGGATTCTTGATTCTGTTTCATTGATCTATCTACATGTCTGTCCTTATACCAGTACTACACTATCTTGATTACTGTACCTTTGTAACAAGTTTTGAAATTGGGAAGTGTGAGTCCTTTAAGACTGGTTATTCTGGGTCCCTTGCATTTTATATGAATTTTAGCACCAACTTTGTGGCAGGCACTGTCCTCACTTCAGGAGTTTGTAAACTTCAGTTTGTAAACTTCTGCAAAATAGCTAGCTGGAATTTTGATAGAGATTGTGTTGAATCTGTAGATCAGTATGGAGAGTATTGCCATGTTAACAATACTAAGCCTTCTTTTCTGATCCATGAGCATGAGATGTCTATTTGTTTAGGTCTTTTAAATTTTCTTTTAATAATATTTTCTAGTGTTCAGAGAGTACATTTTGAACTTCTTTTGTTAAATTCATTCTTAAGAGTTTTATTTTTTATGTTGTATTGATTTACAGTAACTGATTTTTACAAATTACCACAAACTTGGTGCCTTAAAAACAACAGAAATTTATTCTGTTCAGAAGACCAGAAGTCTGAAATCACTTTCACTGTCTTGGAATCAAGTTGTTGGCATGGCCATGCTCCCTCTGGAGGCTCAAGGGAATGGTCCATTCCTTCCTCTTCCAAGCTGGTAGCTCCAATATCTGCCTCCGTGGTCCCATTGCTTCCTCTTCTCTGTGTGTCAAATCTTCTTTCTCTGACTTTTTTATGAGGACACTTGTGATTGGGGCCTTGCCTAGTGATTTTAAAAAGAGAATGGAAAAGAAGGGAGGAGGCACCTTTAACAAGGGAGATGTTAAACATGAAATGTGCAGAATAATAGAAATAATGTTACATTCCCTTCTCCTGAACCTCTTTCCATTTTTCATCTCTAATTCCCAGATTCTCTAGGCAGGTCTCTTCATTTCCTGCCTCTGACCACAATTCTAGAATCCCCTATACAAATGAATCAGAAAACTTAATGTCACTTTTCCCAAGACTGATTGGTTATACCACTTATTCTATAAAATCAGATATATCACTTTCCACCCTTAAAACACATTTACAGCTGCCCAGTGCATGCAGAATGAAGTCCAGATTCTCTTAACTTGGTTCATAAGGTCCTTTGTGACCAGCACTCACCTGCCTTCCAGGCTCTTCTCTTGCCCTAATTTCCCTGATTACTCCCATTCTTTAGTCACACTGGAATTCATTTCAATTCCTCTCAGACCTTTGGACATGCTGATCTCTCTTCCAGTTCCTCTTTCCTTGACCCCTCCAGTTCACCCATCAAGTCTCAAAAATCACTTCCTCCAGAGAGCCTTCAGATTAGGTAGCCTTGCTTTGTCCTCCTGGACCTCTTCTATTATAGCACCTGGTACTTCTTCCATCATAGTGCTTATCACACTGTACTGTCACTGTATGTCTATATGTCACTGTATGTCTCCACCTTGTACTAATCTGTGACCTCCTGAAGTCAGGACAGTGCCTGCCACACACTTGATGCTTGATCAGTATTAGTGGAATGAATGTTCATTTCTGGGCTGTGGCGAGGCATGCTCCCATTAACCATGCCCATTGACACGAGCTGAACAGTCAAACTGGAAGGAGCAGGGATCTGGAATTATAAGACAGGGCCCAGTGACATGGGGCAGATACTAGAGAACATTGTCATTGCAGATGCTGCAAGGATGTCCAGACCAGCCTGACATCAGATAAAAGGAGTTAGTCTATTAAAGCACGCAGAATCAGGAAGACATTCTAATAAGAGGGCATTGGAACAGGTTTGGAAAGCTAAGCAGGCAGGTGGTAGTAATAGATACCATTTATTGAGCATTCACTGTTTGTTGGGAGCTGTATCTATAACTTCTTTTTCCCCCATCTTTATTGAGGTACATTTGAGAAATAAAATTATATGTATTTAAGATGTACAGCATGATGTTTTGACATATGTATACATTGTGAAATGATTATTACAGTCG